ATTTTATATGATAGAAGGAGCAAATGCTGAATGGAAATGACTGATGTCGTTACATGGAGAAAATGAGGGCTATAAACTGTCACGGCTGACGAGGCAAGCTGTGTGGAGGTGAGGTAAGGACCCAAATGCAGGTTGTGATGAGAGCGAGCTGAGTGGAGAACACAACAGGAGCAGAGATGACATATGCAGAAACTAAGGAAACTCTAAACTGGGAAAACTAATGAAACTGAACTGAAACCTGAATGCACAGAAGGAGAAACTCACAGAGGTTACACAGGGAGACAACACAGAGAGACTTGGGGGAGACAACACAGACGAAGCAGCAGCAAGCAGAAGAAAACACAGGGCTTATATACACAGTGGAGTAATCAGGGAATAGGAGACAGGAGGGAAACACAGCTGGGAGAAATCAGGGCTAACGAGACTAGGGAAGCAAAGCCAGACACATTCACATAAGACAAGGACCTTCAAAGTAAAACAGGAAATTTAACAGGTATGCACAGACACGAGCTTAACACTAAGATATCAGACATGGCAACAGGGAGGAAACACGGAAACGTGGGACCAGGGCAGGCACAGTCACACAGAACAGAAGGAGCTCAAAATACAAAAACTGAGAAAAAGAATTACTAGAACAGAACCAAAAATATTAACAGTGACAACCCTAAATACCAAATAATCAAGAAATGAAATGAAACAGCTACAAAACACTGGGTCACTCACCCAGGACCATGACATAAACAACCTGTATAAAAGCTCTATCCAAGATAAAGCATCCTGGTTACTTTACTTATTTTTACTTTTAAACTAAAGTATTAAGCATGCTACTTATGCACTTACATTTGTCACTGTATATAAGGCTGTCACTAATGTGATACTATAATCCTGCTGCTACTCTTACTGGCACCTTGAGTCAATAGATTTACACTATGAATTAGATAGTCTGCCATCAGTGACTGTAACTCACTGGAGAAGGAGGATGGAGAATGCTCTTTGTTTTGTTTGCACAAATAAATGCTCCTGTCTGAGAGCTGCAATCACCAATACTTGTTCACTACATTTTTTTCTATAACATCAAAAATATCATTGTCAAAAATTTCCCTCAAATATCGAAGCCCCTAACTGCCATACAGTAGATCCCAGTATTGAATGTCTGATCCCGAAAGCTTTTCTCTGAGCTCCCTGTCTTAATTTTTTGCACTTTTAGTTAACTGTGAAGGCGCAGTTGGACTAATCCTACACACACTTATAAAATATACACACATTTATAAATAAAGTTTCAAGTTATCACGAGTGTATTACAACTACTGCAAAAGAACCTTGCTTTGATTGAGCTGGAAGGATAAAATCCAAGGAACATTAACCAGTTTGTCTCTGTGGTCCTCAGAGAACGGCTCGCTTTTAATTGAGAACAATGGAGCAGGGGAAGAGCAATCACATCATTAGGGTTTATTGATAATATAGCCAACCCTTACTGTGGCTCATAAGACATCAGCTGGTGCAAGAAGGACAGAGCCCGAGGCTCTGTGATTTCCGAGTCTAAAAGTCTATGTACACAGCATCTAGGAGATAAAAGGCACCACCAGCTCTTAGTAAAATGCAAAGGCAGTCCATAGAAGTTGCCCATTAAAATGTCCGTGTCCTCACGCGTTCCCATTTCCCAAAGCAACAAATCTAATAAAGAAACTACATTTTAAAAAGTGTCTATGGGTGTTTGTGAAGCAACAAAACACACAGAATCACTCACTTTAAGTGGCTGCTTTGACCCAAAGCAGAGAAACAGCACTTATATTTTTAACTTTAAATTCACTGAAGATGCTGAGAGGGCACCAACAGAGAGAGGCGACAAAAATGAGAGAAAATTTATTGACACCATATGAGCCGCGACACTAATAGTATTCTCCACACAGTCAGCATCAATGGGATATTTTAATTACTACCTCCAAACCACAGACAATGAAATATTTACATGTTTGAGTTTAAATTCAGTACATATGAACGTGTGAATAATAAGGCTAACAACATGGCATTGTGAGAAATCCCATACCACGCATCATGTATGGAATATGAATACTATTGTCAACACATTATAACTCCACTAATTAGTCCATTCACGTGCCTTCCTAAGAGTCATATTGCCTTCTGGAGACATGTTACCATGGTAACTCAACCTTATTTAATATGTAGCAAGTAATGATGAACAAATTGAAGAGACGTACGTATTGCCATGAAGCACCATATATTTAAACACTTAAAAGGAAGAGTTACTCCACCCAGCACCATTATATGCTACACTAATACACTGCATTATTGGATATTTATGTTTTATATTTATAAAATATTTTCCTAGAAATTGCCTCTTTCGTATTTCTGGGCACATAGTGATATATATATATATAGCTATATAGATATATAGATATAGATATATAGATATA